TTATCCCACTGGGTTTTTCTTGACAAAGGTTTTTAACGAGACAGTACATTATAATACTATGATACTAATACCCCAAAATAATTAGAAGATGACCATTCAAGGGGGAGTGTTGAAATAAAGTTGAATTAGTCATCTTCTAACTATTCATGATTAGGAACACATTATCATCATTGTTAATATAAATAAGAAATCATAATTATGATTTCTAGATGGTAATTGTATGGCTCACAATTAGCCCCTAATCTAGACAAGATTATATTTTCCCCTATAAATAGGAGTATTCTCCTTCATTGTAAACACACCATTAGAACATCTCTAATACACCTCTATCACTAAGTGTTCATACTATATTTTCTCTCCCTGATCTTCTGCTTATTTGCTTCCATTTTATAACACACAGTAAATAATTTAAATAAATCCTGAAATTCTTTTAACAATAGTAATGCATCAATAAAAATGTGGGTTATACTAAGGTGGCTGGGATTTTTTATGTGGCTGCAATTTCCACTATAAATAGGGATCTTGGCATCACGTACTCCATCCCACCATAGCATGTAGCGACCCAGGCATCAGTCCAGTTCAATATTTGCGTAGAAATGGCTGCAACGTTCGGTTTGATCAAGGATGTATGTCCTCAGTCAACAACATGGGGTTTAAGGTTACAACTGGTGCGCATATACTACACGTGAAGTGAATAAGGCAAAATAAGGAGTCTTGAGTGTGTGTTTCACGACAAAGAGGTAGGTGTTTATTGTAATTGTTAGCTTAAACTCATTCATTAATAATTGCTAATATTTGTGCTCTGAACCTTTTTTATTTTTGAAATGGTAGGGAGATCGTATCCATGGAACCATTCAAAGCTTTCCAATAGCACAATATAAGGATGCAATGAAAGATGGGGGAGTTTATGTCATTGGCAATTTTGTTATGGCAATTGATGCAAAGAAATGCAAGACAACTACAAACAAGTATAAGATAATTTTTCTCCCGAAAACTCAGATTAGGGTACACGATGAGTCGGGGTTCTTGAACGAAGTGTATCAATTTAAATCTTTTGAGAGTGTACTGACAGCAAATATTCTAGATGAAACTGAAATGTTTGGTGAGCAGTTTTTCGGGTTTGTTTAGATTATGTTTTTATTCCCATTAATGTTTATAATAACACGTTGAATTTATGTTTGTGATAAAGGAATTTTTATTTTTAAATTTATGCTTAGAGGTTATTGGTGTCATTGACTCGAAGAGAGGTATTGAAGATGTGATGGTGAAAGGGTTGCCACATAAGACCAGACATGTTTTCCTGCAAGATAATGAGTACGTTTTTTGACATACTATGTGTGCACTATCACATCATTGTTCTAACATAATTAGTATTAATAGTTCGATTTATTTTTCAATAGAATGAAGCAGATACAATGCACGTTTTGGGACAACTATATCAAAGAAGTGAATCCGTATTTGGATAACAATGCGACTGAACCAATGATATGTATTTTGCAGTTCTGTCGTGCGAAGGTGTTTAATAGTTTGTTCTGGAGTTACACGAATATATTTACATAATTTGGAGATAAATATTTGAGAATATTTGTTGTTACAAGTGACATTGGTATTGGGTGGGTTGTGTAGGTGCACCACAATTGACAACCTCATTTCATGTTACAAAGGTTATCATCAATGGAACAAGTGATGAGTTCAAACATTTTAGGGAAGGGTAAATGGATTACATATTCATTTGATGTTGATAAATGAATAAGTTAATTAATATAAAGCATTTTCAATTGAGTTTTAATCATGCGTTGCTTTTTTTTCTTTTTGTAGGTATGGCGTAGAGGAATATTCAGTTGCCAAGTATCAATACATTTTTGATGACATCAAACTCACGCATGCCTATTTTTGAAGAACTTAACAACTTGATTGGGCCGTTGAAAACCATAGATGCACTCTATGAGACTAAAGAGGTGTCATTTTCAATCCCATATTCAAAATTTAAATTTAAATGCGTTTACAGGTTGGGAGTTTCCGGGTCCATGCAAAGGTTGTTGCGATAGAGAGTGGTGATAATTGGTGGTATTTGTCCTGTCCACAATGTCCTAAGAAACTTGACAAATTGTGACAAGAGTTTTGTTGATGGTGTACCTAGGTAATGTGTTATCACTTTTCCTAATTAAGTTTTGTTACAATATGAAATTAAGTGGAAAAGAAAGAATAATTTAGTCAAAATTTGAATGAGTAGGTATAAGGTCATAATTCGTGTCGTTGATTCCACTGGTGATCAGGGGACAAGAGTTGTTTGGAAGAGAAGCGGTTGATTGCAGAGACACGCTCATAAGTGTAAGTAATAAGATTTTTTTATATATGCTGTATTGTATAAAAATAAGATAAAAAGTATTATGTTTTCATGATACATTAGACCCGTCGTGGGAGCGGCTTTATCCTCATGGAGATTGAGGCAATTGTGGATTCAAGTATGTTGCTTAAGATACAAGTGAAAAAGGATAATTTTAACAACTACAACTCTATTTTCAGTGCTATGAGGTTTACCACGGACGTTGCACTAATTGAGAAATTCACCGGGAAACATGGTGATGACCAGGTGATTGTGATTAGCGTATGGTTTCTTATTTGGTGTTGTATACTAGAATGGTTCGGGGATTGATTTTTCGCTTATATTCATAACATCTAGGAATCGGATATCTTCTCCAAATACTGTGACGATTCAACAAGGGAAAAGGTATTTGCTGAATTACAAATTAGACCACATTTTTTGGGGGGCTGTGTGCAGCGTATAATATTTTTTTTTTACAAATAGCCAAATAGGTTGGTTCCTCCGATAATGAGGTGTCAACTCCTGTGAAGTTTAAGGACACGGAGAACAACAGAAATTAAGATGCCAATGCAGATTTGTTAAATTGTTTCCAGTTATATTGTTGTCATTTAAGGTATATAAAGGATACATACTCTTCTCATGTAGTTCCATAATTTTGCTTAAAATTGAAAGATACACTTATTACAAACAGAAAAGGATATGTTTCATAAAATCTAATTTAAGTTTTTTTCATTAAATCCCGTTTATTGTTCACATTGTGGAGAGATCTTCTCCTTCTACTAATTGAAGGAGCTTATTTTACATACCTTAAAGTAGCTCCATCATTTTGTAAACCTGCTAGAAATAAAATAAAATGGTGAAACTTACGAAGAGTGAACAATACAGGAGAAAAAGAGGTGTACATATCATCCATGATAAAGGTACAGTATCATACAGAATAACCTATTTTGTGGAGTTTAAAAAAGAATCCAACTATTTATGATCACTGGGTTTCATACTGCAGCCTACAAGTGTCATGTTTTTGAACTTTTAAATAAACCAACTCCTGTTGGAGTGGCGTCAAAGAAATGTTAACTATAAAGGGAACCTATGGAACCGACTTGTGAATTGTGAGTACGAAATCTTAATTCAACTCCAATTATCTTTACAATATAGGGGTGTTTTGTTAGCAGCCATTTTTTGACTGATTTGACCATATTTGATCTTTTGACCAAACCAATCATCCAATAAAAGTGTTTAATTAAATGGATTTGCTTTTTATCCTAAACAGCCAAAATACAAAATGCTATTAATTAATTGTAGCTTTTAGGATCGGCCTTTCAATATCTTTCCTATACAACCATCCGCGTTTGGGATCGAAAATTGCTCCAGCTGAAGAGAAAAAACAGCTTGTGACCAACTCTGATAACCAAGTATGAAGTATCCGATTGTTCTCCTCTGAAGTTTTGTCAATATACTTCTTCTCCAATATGTTAATATAGAAAGTATTTAGTTAGTTCTTAGGATGTTTTTACTTGGACTGTAATTCCTCCCAGACCAGACCAGACCAGACCAGTTCAGACCAGACCAGATCGACTTGGATAGTTATAAAATACAAAGAAACCAGACCAGTTCAGACCAGAACAGACCAGCAAATTACATTCCAAGTAAAAACATCCTTATTTAGTCGCTAAGTGCTATCCACGACTTATGTGCAGTGGTGGAACCAGAGAATAATTTGAGTGGGTGCTATGATATACTCCGTATATAAATTTTCTTAAAAAACAAATTTTATAAAGGAAAAACGAGTGAAAAATAATCATTAATTATATATAGAGTGCGATTCCAATAAAAAGAGTTAGTCACGTCAAAAACGCGAACCGGTGCACTCTTTACTCATTTCAGTGCAGTAGTTATTAACAACGAAACGCATTCATTAATAAAACTTACTATCAAGTCAATATAGAACACACGTCGTATATTGACTTGATAGTATCAATAAAACTTAAGATGACATCGATTGAAATTGATAACCTCAACACAAGCGGTTTATTGGTTTAATAAAATATAATTAATTCCCCTTAGATTATTAACCATAAGACACATACATTAATAATCCAAGTTTACTATCATGAGGGGACCGAATGATTAACAAGCATATTCGTTGATCGATTTTAGTAATAATTAATATATGAAACAAAACTAGTTGATCCTTTAAGTAATGCTCAAGTATTAATATTAATATCAAAACTAGTTGATCCTTTAAATAATACTCTTCTCCAATTTCTAATGGCGTTTTTATAAAAATAATACTAAAATAAAACTTATTTACACAAATATGACTAATATTTACTACAATGTAGTGTCATGGGAATTTAAGTTTAAAAATTAAACATAAGTTTCTGTGATTTCATTACTACTCTAATCGTTAATAACATTTTTGTAAACAATATTTATTGTAATCATTGATATGTAATTATATCATTTTTAATCTCCTAAATCCCAAAGTAGAAATACAAATTCAAAACTCGGGTCGAGAGGCAGCCCTGGGTAGTAATTGTAAGGGCCATGGCCCAAAAAAATAAATCTTTTTGGGCCCCTAAATCAGCCTATTGTAAAGTTTATCAGGCCCAACTGGACAAAGGCCCCAAATTAACAAAACGCAGTACTTCGACCTCAGGCAGTCCAGTAGACGACTCTTGATTAACCAATCGACATCTAGTATGAGTCATCCGTGAACGGCCGAAGTGTCGAACGCCCTCCGGCCAGCGCCAGCACGCAGCACGGCAGCACGGCAGCACGCAGCACGTCTCGTCATTCGTCGCCTACTCGCCTCACGCCCGTCGCTTGGTCGCCTGCATTCCACCACTTACCCTTCGACGGTTCGGCCAATCCGCGCTTCTCAATAGTCACCTTCCTACCTTCTGTAGTTTCGGTATAACTCCAGTCCTCTTATTCAATGCCTAGTTCCGGTATTTTTTCAATTGATATACCTAATTTATGTCAATCTTCTATACCATTCATATTTAGACTTGGGTGCATGCCAATTTCAGTTTCTTTGTACGGCGGCTTGAGCACGGTTAAAGCTTGAGTCTTGGATTCAAAATAATCTACTTGGGTAATCTCATTATTTTAATTTTAATTTATAGTCATGCATTATTTTAATTATATGTATGCTTACATATAATGAGAGGTGCTAACTGTAGTAATTAATTAGAATTTGCAAATGTGTTCTCAATGATGAATTATGCAGTATATATAGACTATTATTCTATTAACTACCATAGTATCTATAACAACATTTATCCAATTCATATGTAGTATATATATGTAACATGCCTAAAGTTTTATAATGTTTAATACTCTGTAGATTTTTTTGTAAATCATAGATATCTCTATTCTAAGACATATTTTTTAATTATATGTGTTTTATGGAGATTAAAAATGATCTGTTGTAGTTAGGTTAAAATTAATAGGAAAAACTGTTGATGTAGTTCTTTAAAGAAAATTTAGTTGGGTAGGATATCGGATAATTCAATCTCTTGGATATAACACATCTTTTAAAACAATATTCAGTTTGTCTTGGGGAAAATTAGGATGCATCCTGTGATGTTTATGTTTTCTTATATAATTTGAGTTTATTGAGTAGATTAGTAGGTAAATCATAAATAAGTTTGTGTTTTATTTAATAGACACCAAATGAAGTTAGTAACTCTATTAAATAAACACCAAATATGTATGAAGTGTCCGTTTGGTAGTGTTTTTGCTTATTAAGCTTATCAATCAGATGGTAAGCTAAACACTAATTTTTTTAATGCTTTGAATTATGTTATAATAGCCTAATAGTACGGAGTAATAATTTGAAGTGAGGTGCATATATTTGCTAAAAACCTGTAATGGATGGGCTCATTCCAAAAATATAACAAAAGGAGATAACCTGATTCCTTTTTAATAACCTGCATTTTCAGCGTATAACATGAATACATTTTTATGAGTAAAGATGTCAACGGTGAAGAATAATTCATATTGTTAAAGACATCAAGTACTTTGCTAATAATCTTCTTATAGCACACTTTAACAATGGTGGGAAAATATTTACTTTCAAAAAATTTAAATATGCATTAGTAAAGGATTGGAAATATAAATTTATAGGCAACAATTGGAATCCCAAGAGTCAAATAAAAGATAGCCGCACATTTTCCTAAAACACTCTAGAAGCCATTTCCTATCTAATTAACGTTGCACAATATCCGAACAATACATTTATGTAGAGACATAAATGAAACAGCCTTCTAATTAATCGTTGCACAATATTGGAACAACACATTTATGTAGAGACATCCTGAGAAGTTCAAAAGACTAATTAATAATCGACAACACATTTATACTTGCACAATATTCGAACAAACGACATTATTGCACTGAAACGTTTTTTTTGCTCACTCGTGCTACATCCATTACGCACACTTCCCGCACAAATTCCCTCCTCAAACCCCCACACTTTTCTGTTTTACTATATATATAGATATAGACTTCTTGATACAACAGGGGAGCTCCACCGCTACTAGATTTCACTAAGAAATTGGAGACTGAAATTCTTTAAGAATCCATAGACTTCTGTGATATAGAATTCCACAGGATTCTACAACAATCGAATGGAGTCTATGTAATTTAATCGATGGTGAAGTACTGACTCCTGAAGCAAGAAGCTTCAGAGTGTAGGAGTGTTGTTTTGGAAGGAGTCTTTGGAGATCGCTTAATTCCATCCTCTGCAGCTAGAAGGAAGAGCCAACACACAACTCTTTTCACATTTGCAGTAATCAAGCATTCAGAATATGACAATAGACTGTCTGATTTTAGGTTAGTAAATTTTTATGCCCTCATCGATTGACTGCCTGATTTTAGGTTAATAAATTTTCATGCCCTCGTCGATATTTGTCTACATCGTGTTTGACAGAATGAATATTACAGTGAAAATAATGAAAGAGGCAAATATGTATTACAGGGGCAGGCCAAGAAGTGGGGAAGAGTTGCGTGGTGGTGACTATGAATGGAAAGAGGATAATGTTTGACTGTGGCATGCACATGGGCTTTTTGGATCATCGTCGCTATCCCGATTTCTCTCTCATCTCTCAGTCTGGAGATTTCACTAGTGCCCTATCTTGCATCATTATCACCCATTTGTATGGTTATTTTTCTTTACTATATTTCTCTATTTATGCCTGATTTCAGAGTTTCAGCTGTGCTTGCATTCTTGTAGTATTGCAATATAGTGGGTGAATTAATTTCAACTATCCGTGCAGCCACTTGGATCATATAGGAGCTCTTCCATATTTCACTGAAGTTTGTGGGTATAATGGTCCCATATACATGACGGTAATATCCCTCCAACGTTGTATGCGAATACATAAATAATCATGCTGGGCTGTTTGGTTGTAATGCACAATGGAATCGTTCCGTCTCATTTCTTTGTGGGTAAATTAATGGCTTAACAGTATCCCACAAAAGCCCTTGGTCCGCTAATGCTTGAAGATTACCGGAAAGTAATGGTTGATAGGAGGGGAGAAGAAGAGCAATTTACTGCAGAACACATTGTGGAATGCATGAATAAAGGTACTGTCTTTTCTTATTAATGAATTTCAAGCACTTATCGTTCTTGTGACAAAGCTGTTCTATTACAGTACTTCGTAGTTCTATAATGATTTCATTCATGCAATCTGCGGATTTGCGTATCTGCTCAAGTTGAATTCCTGTGTTGAAAAGTATGTTCCTTTAGTAAAACTAAGCAATATCAAATACAAAGTGTTGCATGATTAAATTAATAAGTGGACTTCATAAAATAGTCATATAGCAACTGAAGTGTATTTGAAGCATCAAATACGCTTCTTATCCAATTTTTTTTTTTTCTGCAAGACTGCACCCATGACCCTGATATGGGGTACATGCACACATAGATTTTTACTGCACACTCAAATTTGTATGCAGTTATAGTAGTGGATCTGAAGCAGACTGTGCAGGTCGATGACAATCTACAGATTCGAGCATACTATGCAGGGCATGTAAGGAGTTAAACTTAACATGTGTATATATTCTGTTGACTTCAAGGTTTTCCATTATCTACATCCTAGAAGTAAAGTTTCAGCAGTGGCTGCAGTGTTGGCTATCTAGAAATTTAAGGCATCTTACACTTCTTTATGCATCATTTCATTTCAAGATGATCTACTTTTGATGTTATTTGAGTGAATTAGTGAAATACGATAGAAGTAAGGTCTCAGGCAGTCATGCACAAATGTAAAGGGTATGCACACATTTTCTTTTGCTTCGATACCCTTTACAAAGCTATAAAGGATTGGTTTTGCTGATCAAAGTGAATCAGGATATTGAACTGCAAGTCTGCGACAAGGTAAATACTTCATGAGTATCCTTTTTGGGTTTGTGAGCGCACACCAAGGTTGTTATGGCATCGCCTAGGCGTCCTTGCGATGGATAAGGGTCGACCGGGAAGATCGACTCGTGTGAGGAAGATCAGGTGCCTCTGGCGTCGTCCAGGTGCCGTCCAGGCGTCGTGCTAGAGAGTGTTAAAAATCAGTAAATTCATTTTTAGAAGCCTAGCCCAATAAAAGATTTAGAAAGTAGAAGTTTAGAAACTAAATTAGAGTTTTTGAAAGTAATTTAATTCTAAATAAAGGGACCCACGTCTTCTGATTTCTTAAACTCGAAACTCAATGGGCATCATCGAATCTGAAACTCGAAATTCGAAGGACAATTGTCGACTCCTAAACTCAGAGCATCACTAGTCACTATTTCCTTTGCAGCAGTGTTGCATGCCTGCGTCGCAACTCGCAAGGTTGAAGACGACCTGCAGCACCTTCTCTCCTGCAGCACCTGCTCTTCCACTTTTATTAGTATATTCTAGTCTAGAAGTTTTGTTTTTATGATTATTCACTTGTCAGACTTCTTCATAGACCTCTTATATGGATTAATAATGCATATGTATGTAATATATAATCAGTTTCGCACTACACAGTATACCCACTACACAGTTTAATTTTAATACTATACTTCACACAGACTATACAGTATTTATAGATAATTAGATAAATAGATGCACACCACACTATATATTAGTATATTTGTAATTTGTTTATTAATATTTGTTATACAGTATTAAACTATTAATATAAACTAGTTTGCATATATACACTATATACATAGTTTTTATATGGTCAGTTAGTAACTTAGTATTTCATACTTCACACACACATATTTAATACATATGTTGCGACTAGTTGCCTAATTCTTGCCTAAGCGGGCGCCTAATCGCCTAGGCGGGCACCTAATTGCCTAGGCGATAAGCCGGTCAGCTGGTGCCGTGACTCGCCTTACCACTGTGACAACGATAGGCCACACAGAGTAATTACTTGAAGTCTTGCTTTTTTTAGGGCACATAATAGTACTGTCTTTGTACTCTGATTGCCAAACATGTTTCTAGGTCCTTGGAGCAGCAATGTTCTATGCTAAGGTAGGAGATGCCACTATGGTATATACAGGGGACTACAACATGACACCTGATAGACATCTTGGGTCTGCCCAAATTGACCATTTGCCGTTGGACCTTGTTATAACCGAGTATGTTTTGCTGCTTCCCTTCACATGTGTAATTGTAATTCTGTATAGTCAATCACATTCGCTTTGGTAGTTTGGTAGTATATATTTCCTAGGAGCTCTTCCATATATAACTTTTCAGCAATGAACATCGATATGTCTTGCCCTCCCTGCACAAGTAGGTTTAGGTTTGCTCTGCTTGAGTAACACTAACATCTTATTGATAGTAAAAATAATTACTTATACTTCCTTTAGAGTGGATAGACTCATACACCGGTGGAGATGAAATTGGTAGAGTTTAGGCAGTGAAATTTGTGATCGGTTCTGAAGACGTGAGTGGTAAATGACAATGACATTTGAAAATGTCACCAATGACGATAAATATTGGTTATCGCGCCAAAACAACTTAGCATCCAGACTTTCAAAATCTATGTTGGCCTATTATTCAAAATATAAAGGAATGAAGATTGTTTCAAAACAAGTTAGTTGAAGCTTGATTTAGTATTCTACTGAAAAGTACAACAATCCAAATAGAATCATATGTGTATGTATTTATCCTGAGTGGTGGATTGAGAATATGTCATTCTGTAATCCAATCTGTAAAATTTTGTGATGGGAAAATCCTAATCATCTTTCAATTTAGTCCAAAAGATTGGATTATTTCATAGTTTCACACATTTTTTGCTCACTAGTCACCCTATTTTTTGTTGAATTGAACATTCTTTTGACTACCTTGGACACTAAGGAGATCCTGGTAAGTATATGCCCCATTACATGGGCTTCATAATTCAAAAGGACAATGAATTAGATGGAGATGTATCTCATAAAAATATAACGTGGTGGATGAAATGGAAGAGTGCGTCAAAGTTTCTATGTGATTGAGATATGCTGACTAGTCTGCAGGGTAAGTTGTATCAAATTTCAATTAGGTCTACATGAATGGTGCAGAGTGTTGGACGGTGAAACCGGGTTCATTGAAAAGGTAAATGTGACTAAGATGCACATGTTGCGTTGAATGTGTGGACATACTAGAAAATACCGCTTGAGAAGTGAGACAATCAAGCAAAAAGTGGTAATATATATTGAAGTTAAGATGTGAGAGACCCAATTGCGATTGTTTGATCATATGTGTAGAAGACCGAGTGTTGCACAGTTAGATGAATTGAGAGGTGGGGAGGGGAAGAAGGAGAGGGAGTGGACGACCTAGAAAAAAGTGGATTAGAGTGGTGAAGAATGATATGGTACTTTTTGGGTTGGATGAGAGTATAACTTTGGAGAGAGCGAAATGGAGAGGAGAGTATACATGTGGATGATTATATGGTACTTATTATTGTTGTTGCTGTTATTATTATTATTACTACCACTATTAATATTATTGTAATATGTCGATTCATGTTAGTTCACTCCTAACTCTTTTGGGATTAAGGCTTGGATGTTGTTGTGGTTGTGAGCATTCTTTTGATATTGATATATACGATAGTATATTTCATACAGTTTCATTTATTGACTCATTCTGATAACGGGGAAAGGTGTAAATATACCCTTAAGTATATGTGGAGGTGTAGAGATATTCCTGAACTTTTAAAAGGTGCAAAATACCCCCAGCGTTCTTATAATGGCGCAAATTTACCCGTATTGACTTTAAATAAATAAAATAAATTTAAAAAACAAAAATAAATTATAAATTTTGAAATTGAGAAATATAAAAATTAAAGAGTTAAAAATAAAGATTTACTTTTATGGTAAAATATTATCTCATTAATTTTAAATGGCAAACTTATTATTTTTCCCTTGTAAATGAAGCACTTCAAATTCATAAATATTAATTTTAGTCTTGTTACTCTTGTTGCAACATTTCGTACACATTGTTACATTTTTGAAATAACATTCTTTGGTTTTGTTTAAACGTAATACAATTAAATTGACTCTTTTGTAATCTTGGACTATTTATCATCATACAAAATATGTAATTTTAGAGTGCAAAGAATACAAAAAACCAATATTTTTTTACATTGCAACACATATGTTAACACTTTCCCGAAAGAATCATAAATATATAGTAAAGTTTTGAAACAATTTCTTATACTAACAATATTAAGTTGTGATTTATACTAACAATTTCTTAATTTTTCAATTTCGAATTTTAAATTTATAAACTATTGTGGGTGTTCTTTAAAATTTGTTTTATTTATTTAAAGTCAATAAGGGTAATGTTGCTCCTTTATAGGAACATGAGGGGTGTTTTTCAGCTTTTAGAAGTTCAGGGGTATATGTGCACTTTCACGTACACTTCAGGGGTATATTTGTACCTTTTCCCTTTTGATAATCTTGTTGCTAGTTGCTACGTCTTTTTAATGACATGAAAAAATGAATGGGATGGGATACAATTTTGTCAATTAAAATCTTATTGCACTTTAATTGAAATTTCCTGTATGAGACACACTACAATTTGGGTAAATAAAAAGATTTCAAGTAAAATGTTGTGAATATAATGTATAATTAATGTGTTTATTTCAATTTGTGTGGTTGTCATTATTGTTTATGCTCACATGCTAATAATTGAATGATATATGTGAGGTTATGTAAAGATTTTTTACTTTTAATTTTCCTGCACTTTTCTCTATATATTTTATTTCTTTAACAGGTCAACTTATGCAAATACTTTCCGTGATTCAAAGTATGCTCGTGAAAGAGAGTTTCTGCAAGCTGTAAGAATTGTGATATTATTAGAACCATGACATTATCTTTGAGGTGATAGAAAACATATTATAGAAACTCATTTACATATTAAAATACCAGATTACCAGTATTGTCAAATGTGGATGTATGATTAGAATCAAGTTTTGCATGTGATATGAAGAAGCTATTTGATAAAGCACCTAAGGCAAATCTTTGGTGAGCTTTGAATTTAAAGTAGTATCTCAGAACTATTGCCTATTAGGCATAATGAAATATATGCCTTTATATATATAGAATATTATTCCTGTCCGAAATTTCTGGACATGACCGCCGTTTGGACATCTCATTTCTAGATGGTTCTAGGATGGTTCTGGGTAGAATTTTTTGATGAATTTTTGTGAGTATGTTCTCCATGAAGTGTAAATTGTCCACCAAATTTCAGCAAGAAATTCAACCGGGAAGTCAGTTAAATAATTTTTTGAAAAATAAGTGCGCCAAAGTATATATAAAAAACAGTCATTTTCAAAAATTTGTTTGACTGACTTCTCGTTTGAATTTTTAACTGAAATTTGGTGGATAAATCTACTCCATGAAAAACATGCTCATAAAGTTTCACCAAAAACTTCCACTGGGAACCAGATCAAAATGTGGTGGCCGGACGGCGGTTCTGTCCGGAAATTCCAGACAGGAATATTTGTGTGTATATATAAGTTGATTTACCATATGCTATTTGTTAACACATTATGTTTGTAGGTTCACAGTTGTGTTGCTGCTGGGGGGAAGGTGCTAATTCCTACATTTGCCCTGGGCAGAGCTCAGGTAGTTCAGTAATGATCCATTGTTTTATGTCCTCTACGTGACTGTGTTTAGATGTCTGGCATATTGTCTCTCTTTGTTATCTTCCGTCAAATAATGATAGACTTGGTGCCCAACTGCCCATTTAGGATATTTTTAACTAGACCTAAATTTTCTGGTGTGCTCTAAGCTGGTCTAGTAGATGTTTGGTCTCTGTGTATTTTATAACTGTTCAAGTCTGGTCTGCCATTGAAATACCTGGGAAAGGTAATCACACATTAGCATTTACTATGAGCGACGTGAATACTTTGATGCCTATAAGACAAATTGCATACACATTTTGATTTTAGCGCTCATTGCTGAATTTAGAGTTCTTTGTTACAGGGGCCCTATCAATTCAAACACATTCAAATTTCTCACCCAAGTCGTAATTGTAGCTGGGTAGGATAGCTCGTTCTAGTCTAGTATCAAGTGAAATATTGATAGTTGTTTGCGTACTTTAATAAAAGCATTAGAAGCTTGATGCTCCATTGCTCCATGTCTGGGTGAGCCAGATTTGATGTATTAAATAATAAGACATTCTTTGATATGGAACTCAAACATACAACATCAAGATATACAAAGATTATAATACCAATGCTTACATAGAGAAAAACGAGTCCAGGAATGGGAACTCTTGTGTTTGTATTGAGGGTAAAGTGTTAAAGTAAAGAAATAAAGCAAGTCCTATGTTTAGATTCAATACTCCCCGCTCTTTTGTCAACTTCAACTAAATACTAGAAAGTAGGAACTCTTCATGGCCTTATTACATTTCGTATATACCAGTTCTTTATGGTTTGTGTTTAATATGTTACCTAATTTTTCTCCATAGATACCCTTAATGAGATATTTTGATTGCCACATTTTCTGTTCTTCTACTGGTGTGCATCAGTCTTCTTTAATAATGCTGAAGCTTGTTTGTGTCGTTATCTGTCAGGAAATATGTATGCTGCTGGATGACTATTGGGAGCGCATGAATCTTCAAGTTCCTATATATTTTTCTGCAGGTTCATTTTCTCTCTACCTTGACTTATTTTATCGCAATGTTGAAATGATTTCTTTTCAGCTGTATTTATTTACATGTTTTTTGAATAGAATTTTATAGGAGACACTAATGGCATCCTTTATTTTGGCAATTAGCATGTAGACACTTGCATACCAATATAACTGATGCATTTGGGTATTAATCTGATGCATGCGTTTTATTGTCATGCCAAATCTTAATTGTCAAAAGATGCTGTTCATGGAAAATCTTTTACTTTTGAAGAAATGATTAGTGGAGATGAAAGCTTTTAAATTCAGTTTGTATATTATCAAACTAAAAGCCATTTTTCATACTAGCTTGATTATTATTTGGATTTATGAGTTCACAGTTATAACTAATCAAGCTGAACTCAAACTGAAAAAGTTTATGGTGAAGCTATCAAACTAAGTTTGGTGGCTTATAACTCTTTGTAAACATATTTATTAATTTCCAAACTATTATGCTGTTAATGCCAAGTCAAGCCTTGCCCAGCAAGCTTTCAGGGAGAATGCCATCTGTATTCTGTACAGCGTGTTTTTAGAGTTCGCATGTTGGTTTATGAACCTATTTTGGAATGAGAATGAACTAATCAGTGGTTTTCTTTGTGGTCCCCTGGTTTGTTACTTAATAACGAACAATAAATGCTGGAGAGCTTACCTGAAAAATGAAAGAAAAGTAGGCTGATAAACTTGTAAAAAACAAGATAGAAGTCATTGTGATTTCCAATATGTATTTCTAACTTAAGCTCTGAATAATCTTGCACCCCATAGTGCTAGTTTTTCATTATGTATTTAATACATGTAGCTTAACATGGTGATGTTTCAGGATTGACTGTCCAAGCTAATATGTATTACAAGATGCTCATTAACTGGACCAGCCAAAAGGTGAAAAGCACATCCACCACATGCAATCCATTTGATTTTAAAAATGGTAGTACTTCTAAAACTAATTGCTTGCATTGTATATGTATTATTTGTTTGGAAGCCTAATGATTAGTAAAAGTAGAACACACAGTTTATGAAGTATCATCATTTTGTTGTTACTAATTTTTTATGCTTTTAATTTTTAGTATGCAGTTTTGATCGATCATTAGTTAATGCTTCTGGGCCTTGTGTACTCTTTGCTACTCCGGGAATGATAAGTGGAGGGTTCTCACTTGAAGTTTTTAAGCAGTGGGCTCCATGTGAAGATAACCTCATTACTCTTCCTGGGTAAGACCTGATGTTTTCACAAAATATGATTGCCTCTGTTTGAACCATTTATTGAATTTTCAGACATCATTTGCCGACCAATTACAAATAACACCTTTATTGCTTGTCACTGTTGATGTCACTTTGTGCTTGGCTGCCTGCCATTTATTTCAATGATGTTAACCATTTTAAAGTATATCCTTTTCCCCTGATCTCATCAGATATTGTGTAGCCGGGACCATAGGGCATCAATTGATGTCAGCGAAAACACCCTCCAGAATCAGAATGGAAGGAGGGACCCACATTGACGTGCGCTGTCAGGTTCTGGAGTCTGGTCTTTCATTTAGCAATCCATTTTATAAGAAATGTGTTAAAGCTAAAATGGGTTCATATGTATAGTTTATCTTTACTCTGTCTTAATGAACTCATAATATAAATCTCATGCATTTAATAGATCCATCAGCTGTCTTTCAGCCCACACACTGATGCCAAGGGAATCATGGACTTGGTTAAATTTCTTTCACCCAAACATGTGATACTTGTACATGGTGAGAAACCGAAGATGGCATTACTGAAGGAGAGGATTCAAATGGACTTGCAAATCCAGTGTTACGATCCTGCAAATAATGAGACTGTGTGTATTCCTTCAACTCATTACATACAAGTGGATGCCACAGATACCTTTGTCAAAAGTTTGGTAACCCCAAATTTCAAGTTCCTAAATAGCAGTTCTAAAACAGATTCTAGTCTAAATGGAATCGATCCGAGGCTCAATCATGTGTTACAAGTATGTGATGACAGAGTCGGCCAAGGGGTACTAGTTATGCAGACCAACCAGAAACCAAAGGTTGTACATGAGAATGAGATGAGAGCAATGCTCGGATTAGAAAGCTATGAAGTGAGATTCGCTTACTGTTTTCCTGTGGTGCTGTCTTTTTCTGAGGATGACACCAACCAAAGCTACGCCGACTTACATGTTTGGCTTCAGTTATTGTATGCAAAACTGGCAGGAGGACTCAAAGATTTGACCATTGTGAACAACATGGAACATCTTCGAGTAGAGTCATTTGTTATTGTTATTTGCTTGAAGGAAAAGTGCTCTCACAGAGTCGATAGTGGCAATGCCCAGTGCACATCTAAGTCGGTGCATTTTTGCTGCAGTTGGTCACTGGTGGATGAGAAGCTTGCTTGGAGAATCATCTCCTTCATGAAAAATCTGGAGCTGATAACTGTGCCTAAGTTGGTTTAAAAAATAGAGTATGATTATTGATTTGTTTTGCTGAATAGGAATTCTTTGTTGTACGATCTCCAGATAATAAGTTTACATTTCTTTTTTTAATTGCTTGGAGAATCATGTATCTGCTTGTTGTGCAATCTTTTTATATTGCATGCTTTTATTTATTTCCTGTATCTTAATGTATCGATATTCATTAGAAATTAAAGTATCAATTCCATAATATTTTGTAGAATAGAACAATAAAGGAACAACATGTTTCATAATATAATTTTAGAACCATGTGTCAGTAATCATAATTCAATTATTATATTACATATTTGAATAACTGTTTCAATTCCTTACTTCGATAATATCAATATGAAATTAATATGGAGATCACAACAAGAAAATCTAGGGGTGGGCGCGGTCGGAACGGTCCCGTAAATTGGTAAAACCCGTAATGTATCCGTGAAGTTTTTAACAGTCCGGTACGGTCCGATTCCAAGGATAGAACCATTCGGTCTCATGTCGTTTCGGAACGGTAGAAAACGGTACGGTACAATGTCAAACACATGCTAAAATTTTTGAACAAATCTTGCAATTAGAAGATATCATCACATCGATCAACTCAAATGAAATGTTGAAATAAATACAAGGAATTGCATAGCTAGTATTAAAATTCACAAATAATAAAGAGTATAGCAAAACAACTAATAAAGAGTATAGCAAAACGATGACGCACGAGCTAAATATCATTTTTAATTTACTAAGTTCATGTGAAATTATAAAAATGAATATCATCACATTGTTAAATATAATAGAAATCTTCGACGTTCTTCTTCTTCGTTCTAGGTTAAATATTATTCCGCAGTTCTAATTTAATTTATAGTTGAACCTTGAGAGCTAAGATTTAAATCATATTAATTAAGTTGTAAAAAATGCAAAAACATGATACAACAAAGAGTCATGTACACTACATTACTAGAAATAAATAATCATTAATGATTTCTAAAATTTTAATATTCTTTCAATACATACCAAAATATAACATAAATTATCTAAAAAGAAAAACTAACAATATATATATATATATATATATATATATATATATATATATATATATATATATATATATATATATATATATATATATATATATATATATATATATATATATATATATATATATAAACAACACATTTTAGATATCTTAGGGACACATGAATACATACTTGGGGTATAAAATTGTTGGTCTAGATCTATTGATATAGAAAAAATATAAAAAATTCAAATGCATTATTTACGAACGGTTCGGTCAGGTATTTTTCGGTTCTCAAAATCTAGGCATGGTCCCGTACCCGTTTCAAATGGTACGGTTTCGGTACGGGATAAAAATCTATAGAACCATGTAAATACCCGCTAGTCGGTTCGGTACCATTACGGGACGGTTCGGTACCGGTTCGGTTCGGGTTTTATGCCCACCCCTAAGAAAATCATTTTTTGAGGCAACTCTTCGATGCAAGTTCCTCTAAAACACCGTTTTAGCATCATATTAATCTTGGTTGCATCTAAGCATGTAACATCATAACATCTTTGAATTAATAAGAGCATCTACAATAGTTCACTATACACATCGTAATTTTGCATACCACACCAACTTTATCTGACTAATACATTTTCTAGCAAGATGATAGTCCAATGGTTAGCTACAATGCTTGCCTCTTGAATAGGTCCCACAAATAAACCAATTTTAAGAATATATATTTTGAATGACTTGATTTATTTATACGATAAAAATAATTATTAATTTGAAAATTTTAAATTGGAATAATGTCGATGATATTTAAACCCATAAATTATCGGTGTTATTATTATTATTATAAAGAGGGATAATATGAAAAGGTATATATTTAGAATGACACAAATATTACTCACACACTTTTATAAGACAAAAATATGGCCCTTTTTAATATTTCCAAATATATGATTGAAATTCAACTTTTCTCTCGTACGGACAGACTACCCCTTTCCCTCTTGGAATGAAGCAGATCTTCCAGCAATTGGATTGAAGGAGACAGACCAACGACAACTTTCTCGCAGCCAAGGGCGGAGCCAGGGCACTGAGCTCGGCTAGGCCGGTACAGAAATATTTTTTGAAAAAATTTTACACAAATTTTTTTACCTTAAAAATGTAGACATTTTTAAAATTTGGATTGGGCCGGGGCCAAGGTTGGCCCCTCCCTAGCTACGCCCCTGCTCGCAGCCATCGCACGCGCGCCACCGCCTCCGTCTTCGTCCCATCCAACCCTCATCGCCGCTGTCTTCGTCTTAGCCAGCTATCGCCCCTGCTATCTTCGTCCCACCCAATCATCGCCGCTGCTGGCCTGCTGTCATCGTTGTAGCCAACTCACATCGTCGTCGTTGTCTTCATCGCAGCCAACCATCAAAAGCCGATCTCAACACACATTAAATGCGTGTCAAAATACGAACTTATCAGATTCCCCACACTTAAGATATTACTTGTCCTCAAGCAAACTGAACTTCGGGACTTACCATAATCACCACACGACATTAAAACTATTAGCATGCATAGGTAGTTAAAGAGATACTCACAGAAAAGACAGACTAAACCAAGAAAATTCTTCCCTAAACTACATCTTTGTACTCTTTGGCTAAACATAATGACAAAGTTAATCACAACATCCTCGAAGTTATGGCAACACATACTAATAAACTAGCTACTGAGCAGAAGGACATGTGAAGGTGGTGGTGAATGGTGAACAGTCCCTTTCTTTGAGAGTTTGGAACATCCTGACAGCGGCTCAATGTGTTCGGGAATTTCGAGGCGATTCTTAGGATCAAGGAATTCAACAAGTCACTAACTAGGAACTATCATTTAAACCTATGCAAGGAGTAGACATGGTGTACAACCAAGCTAAATCGTCGTTGCACATTGATGCTTTGACGTATATTTGAAGTACGCGAAGGACTAATGCTAAATTTTGCAAGAGCCTTCAAGTTCAATTTTAGTTAGTTTATTTTTCCTTGTCATGTTGGCTCAAGAACGCCATTTCTTTCGAAAGATGCCCGAGTCCCAACATGTACAACCGAAGGCAGCCTCCTCGACAGAACCCGACCAGCACCATTGTCCCTCCCCCGCACCGGTAACTTTTCAAGGAGCCTCATCATCGAGCCTCCCCACTACTACATGAAGGCCCTCCAGCGGGGAGACCGGTACGCGGAGGCCGAGGAGGTGGAGAAGTGTCACCGCAACCCAGAGCAACAACGCCCTAAGATGGATGACAGGAACCACCGAGGGCCGGGAGCTCCGTTCCACCAATCCAAAGTCCCTGCACCCCTCGGTGATCGCCCCTGACATGGCGAATCCATGTCCGGGGAGGTTACAAGAACAACCCGAAGGCCTAGGCGCAACCCGTTCTTCTGGAGCACCATCGGACACCCCTGACGCACCCCATCAGCGTCATTCTGGACTATGACGAGGAGAGGGGCCTCGTGGAGCGAGACTACAGCGCACCCTTAGAGGTATATGCTATCAACCCTAATGAACCGTACTGCCGCTTTCACCGCCATCAAGGGCACATGACTGATGACTGCCATCAGCTGAAAGCGGCCATCGAAAGGTTGATACAGGCGGGTCATTTGTCCCAATTCGTCAGGGGTTCCCCCTATCATGGGCCCCCAACGAAAGAAAACGCATGGGTCAACCCGAACACCATTCCCCTCAACGACCCCAAGGGTAAGAAGAGTGAGATCGGGAACCTCGATGAAGAAGAAGGGTACAACCAGTGCCAAGAAAAGAAGCGCCACATCCACATGATCACCAGTGGCAACATGGGGGGAAACTCCACAAGCCAAAGAAAGAAGTGGGCACAATCCCTTTATGTGGGGGAAGTCACTCATATGCCCCCGTAAAGCGGTTGAGGGAGGAACCCATCGTATTCACCAACGTCGATCTCCCCTCGGTTTCCTCTCCTCATAGGGATGCACTAGTGATCCAAAGTGAGATCAACAACACCATCATCCACAGAACTTACGTTGACACGGGTAGCTCCGTCAACGTGATGTACCTCAACACATTCAAGGAGCTGCATCTGGAGAGGGAGTCCCTTCGGTCCATCCAGACCCCTCTGTCCGGCTTCATCGGAGATACCATAGATTCCGAGGGGGTAATAACCCTCCCGGTGCTCTTCGGCGACGGGCTCCATAGAGGCAAGCTCGAAGTGGAGTTCATCGTCGTCAACATCGACTGCGCCCACAACATCATCCTCGGCAGGCCTGCCCTCGAGGACCTAGAGGCGATCATCTTCATGAGGCACCTATGCCTTAAGTTCCCGGCTGAAGGGGGCATCGGGTACTCAAGGGGGAACCAAAAGCTCGCACGTGCCTGCTACCTCCAAATAATAAAGAAGGTTTGTAAGGCTGAGTTCCGCGTAGACGCCATCAGCGGAACGGTAGAGGAAGAAGAGAAGAGGCCGAGGGTAGAGCCAGTTGAAGAAGTGGAAGACTTTGTGCTCGATCTGGCCAAGCCGGAGAGAGTCGTGAAGATTGGAGCCAAGCTCCCCGAAGACTTGAAGACCGGAATCACGGAGGCCCTCCGAGCCTACTCCATTGTTTTTGCATGGCGAAGGGTCATCACCCACCGCCTGGCGGTGGACCCTTCCTCAAAACCTGTGCAGCAGAGGAGAATGCCCCTCTCAGCCGAAAGGAGGGACTTCGTCAAGAAAGAGGTCGCCATGCTCCTCACCATCAAACACATAAGGGAGGTAAAATACCCTTCATGGCTAGCTAACGTGGTCCTAGCGCAAAAACTACCCACCTTCCGCATGTGAGTAGATTACACAGATCTGAATAAGGCATGCCCTATGGATCCTTTCCCTCTACCAAACATCGATCAATTGGTAGATGAGACGACGGACTGTGAGATCATGTCATTCCTCAATGCCTTCCGAGGGTATCACCAGATATATATGCACGAGGAAGACGTGGAGAAAACAGCCTTCATGACTCCTGAAGGCATCTTTTGCTACTTAGTTATGGCTTTCGGCCTTAAGAATTCAGGCGCCGCTTACACCCGGATGGTGGCCAGGGAGACCTATGTCGATGACATGATCGTCAAAAGCAAACAATCGTCAAACCATGCTGGTGACCTCCGGGAGATCTTCACCATCATGCAAAAGTTTAACCTTCAGCTAAACCCGAAGAAATGTACCTTCGACGTACAAGGAGGCAAGTTTTTGGGTTATATGGTAAGC